ATTTATTAAGTATATAATTTTAAAATAAATATCTAAAACTCCAAACATTAGTTAATTTATAAAATTACTTAATTTAAATTTGAAATTTAAAAACTTTTAAAAACAAAAACAAAAAATTCAAAATTATAACTATACTAAATAGAATTTTAATTTTGAATTTTGTTAAACCCAACGACTTAATTTAAATGGTTGGAATATTGCCTACCTTTCTTTCATTCTCCTCTTTTTTTCAAATTAAAATAAAAAAAACTATTGTCGGCAAATTAAATAATTTAATAATAATTTTTTAATAAAAATAAAAAATTTCAAATAATATGTAAATAAATTATATTAAAAAATAAAAAAATTATTTTATATTATATAATTCAAAATAAAAAAATTTTAAATAATTTAAACAAACATGGCACATCATGCCCACCTCATTGGTCCCCCTCAACAGTTGTGCAGCTGCCCATCACAAATAGTAAAATAGGTCCAGGTGATGTCACTAGGTAGGTATGATTATTCTCACACGTTGGTTATATAAATTTATTAATGGTTCATGAAGACATCTTACTATGCTAGATCGATATCAAGAGAGTGAAATTGTGTTAATGGTTTAAATAATTTACTAATAATTTTACTTTTAAAAAGCAAGGCATCTTAATTTTAAATTATATAATAAATAATTGAAATAAAATATGAGAGAGTTGTTTTTTTATTGTATAATTAAAATTAAAAGAAAAAGTGAAATTGTGGCCAAAGAGACCTAAACTATAGTTGCCCTTATTTTCGTGCCCCTTTTTAGTTGGGTCAAAAAAATAAAGGCCCATGTGATTCGGTCGAATAGGCCTAAAACGGGGGAGCATTTTTGGATTAAAATTTTTTAATATAATTTTTTAAACTTAGTATTTACAAAATATTTGAAAATTTACTGTTAATACTTAACCCAATAGGTATAAGGTAATTTATAGTTATATATTTATATATTTGTTGAATGATATTTTGTTTTAAATTTTTTAAATTAAAATTTTAATAAAATATTATTTATTACAATTTAAACTTGAATATAATTTAAAATAACAATAAATAACTAGAATTTAGTTTTATATTCAAAACTCATATTTATGTACCATTAAAAAACTAATCACAAGTTCGTACCTTGACTCGAGTTGGGGAAGTTTTTGAGAATAAGAGAGAATGATATTTTATTATATAACTTATAATCAAATGTACAAAAAAATACTATTAAAAAACTAAACTCAAATAAATAATTAAAATAAAGAACAAAAAATATGTACCCAAAAAAATAAATAAATAACAGAATGAAAGTCTTTCAAAGAAAATATATAGGTTTTTGAGCTTATAATCCCTCTAATTCTTTATTACGGTTTGTTAGAAAGGGATAGTGTCTAATAGTATATCTATTTTAACATTTTGATATCCATACTTTTACCTTACTATTCTTATTTGTTAAATTGGGAGTTTGAAGCTAAAAAATTATTTATACAGTAAACAAATGCTAGGACTCAAAAATCACTAATAGAAAAATAAAAAGAAAGGCAAAAAGAATTAAACTTTGAAGTTATAAATACTCACCATTGCTTAAGAGTGTAAAGAAGGGAAAAAGTTGTTGGCTACATATGTGATTTATATTTAGTTTAGAGTTTGTTATTTATAAGTTACACATGTGGATTCTTTTTTTTTTATTTTATGATTTTTATTTTTAAAAAGTATTGTTATTATATACATATTACGTATAATAACTATACATAAAATTTTAATTATACAAGTATATGTAACATGTTAATTAAATAAAATAGTTAAACAGGTTAAGTAAATACTCACCATGGCTTAAGAGTGTAAAGAAGGGAAAAAGTTATTAGCTGCATATGTGATATATATTTAGTTTTGAGTTTGTTATTTATAAACTGCATATGTGGTTTCTTTTATTTTTATTTTTGTATTTTATGACTTTTATTTTTAAAAAGTATTGTTACTATATAGATATTAAGAATAATAAGTATATATAAAATTTTAATTATATAAGTACATGTAATATGTTACTTAAATAAAACAGTTAAACAGGTCAAGTAAATGGTTTTAAATCCTTATACTTAACTTGATACTCGTGAATATATTATTTTCATATTCATTATTTATCCATTTTTTTTTATATTTCGGATAAAATACTTATCTGAATAGATAAAATATTTACGAGTGATGGATATATCCACAGCCAATGCTCACTCCTAATCTAAAATAACTTTCCTTCCTAATTAGATCAATAAAATACGGGCCCATACAATGGGGCGATAAATAAATATGCAAACCATTCATAACTCATAACATCAAGCTAGCCATGACTCAATTTTCTTCATTTACCGAACTCCCAACCTTTCTAATATTTGCCCTTCCTCTCCTTCTATGCTTCCTAAGGAAATCAAGGAGTGGCTTTCCAAAAACCAAAAAATGAGAAAGCAGCCCCAACAGCAGCCGCCGGGGGATGGCCTATGATTGGCTATCTCCCCGTCCTTGCCAAGCAACATGGCCGACAAGTACGGACCAATTCTCACAATCAAACTCGGAGTGCATACCATTTTGGTGGCAAGTAATTGGCAAACTGCTAAACAATGTTTGACTACCAATGACAGTATTTGCCAATCCTCCAAAACTCGTAGCTTTCGAGATTTTGGGCTACAACAGAGCGACGATCCCTTTTGCCCCTTACAGAGCACACTGGCGTTCTGTACGCAAGATTGCCACTTCTGAGCTCCTCTCCAACACCCCTCTTGAGATGTTCAGACATCTACGAGAATTCGAAATAAAGGAATCCATACATGAGTTATATCAGTTATGGAGCAAGAAGAAAGATGGCTCTGGTAAGGCAATGGTGGAGATGAAGGGATGGCTTGGAGATGTCACCCTCAACATGATACTGATGGTGATTGCGGGGAAGACACTTTCGAGTTTTGATAATGATCCCCGAGAGTGTTAGATTGAAAAAGGCATTAAGAGATTTTTTTGTAGTTAGGTGGGAAGTTTGTGGTATCAGATTCATTTCCATTTTTGAGATGGTTGGATATAGGAGGAGAGGAAAGGATGATGAAGAAGAACGCCAGAGAACTAGACAGAGTTATGGAGAAATGGCTACAAGAGCAGAAGCAGGGGAGAGCATCCGGTCAAGCAAAATATTGTGATGTGATCCTTTCTATTGTGAAGGATGAGGAGGACCACGATGCTGACACCATTAACAAAGTCACATCCGTGGTGATTTTTTTTTTTTTCTTTTTGGCCCTGGTTTGTGTTCCTTAATCTAATAATTAATTAGTTTCTAATTAATGATTGAAATTAAACATAATCTTTTTAAATTTTAAAATTATAACTAATCACATTTAATTTGTGTATCCCATGACTAAATTATTTGGAGAGTGTCACACAGAGTGTAGCTAGCATTCTTCATTTTTAGATTATGTAGATTAATATCTATTTCTTCTATTTCAAGATAATTGTTAATTAACGAACGATTTAAATAATTCAGTGATTATCTCCTTTCGCTAGAAATAAAAGATCTTAAATTCGAGTCGCATGGCATACGGGTAAAGTGAAATAAAAGATGAGAGATGATTGCCTCCCATTATGCAACAAAAAAAAAAAAAGAAGAAAAGAAGATAATTGTTAATTATTATTGTAATTTTTTTTACAAATTATGAATTATATTTAGGGATAATTTATGTTTTTATTTATATTATTATTAAAAAAATAAATAAATAATTTAATAATAAAATGAATAATTAAAATCAAGAGATAATAATAAAGTTAAATTTAGTTGGAAAAAGAATTTTTTATCTATTTTAAGAAAGCAAAAAAACAATAATTAATTTAAAATAAGGTTTAAATAAAATAGGACAATTGTTTTGAGCATATTATTTTGGTACCGAGAGAGCTTATAGACTCTAGAAAAGTTTTTCAAACAAATACCCCTATGGTTTTAGCTTGGTTTATAAATTGCTAATACTATCTACTTCAAAATAATTGTGGTCTTTTTACTTTGAATTTATCTAAATTGATTATAATTTTTTTCATTTTTAAGGTAAATAAATATTTTTTCTTATTTTAACTATATTGTTATTCATTTACTTTAATTAGTCCTCCTATTATTAAAATTCTCCTTGTATCTTTTATTTTATTTTTAAGAATAATATAAGTAAATATATAAATTATCTTTAAATCTTTAATTAAAAGAGTAAAAAAATAAAAATTATTTTTGAATAAAAAAATATTTACTATACTATAACAACAATATTATAATGATAAATTTACAATCTTAAATTTCATTATAACTATATCACTTTTTAACTTTATAAGGGGCAAAACTATAGTGGTAGAATTTAAGGGTTAGAAGGGTGGCCCTTGGGCCAGGCTAGACTCGGACCGAAACCGAATTAGTTGAAATAGGCGCTCTTGTCTCTGCTTTTCAATTTTCTGTAATGGCCTAAATCCATTCCTTAATTTTCCTAATCTTAAAGTTGTTTTTATTGCTACATAAGATTGGTTCATTTATGCTATGGAATTAAGAAAATCAGTAGTCATCTCTTTCCATCAAAAGTAAAAGATCTTGAATTTAAAATGCATGACATGCAAATTGGGTGAAATAAGAAATGAGAAATGATTGCTCCATTGTGCAAACTAAAGAAAACAAATTGGTTCATTTATGTCTTCTAATCAATTTCCCACCCCCCACAGGCACTGATCGTGGCAGGTTCAGATACCACATCAGTAACATTGGCATGGGCTTTGGCTTTACTACTAAACAACCGCGATGCTTTGGAAAAAGTCCAACATGAATTAGATACCTTCGTTGGTAGAAAACGGAGGGTAGAGGAATCCGACATAAAAAAATCTGATCTACCTTCAAGCCGTCATCAAAGAAACATTTCGTCTATACCCCATCACGCCACTTTCATTACCCCATGAGTCCATTGAAGATTGCATCGTGAATGGCTATCTTTTTCCTGCTGGCACGAGACTACTTGTTAATCTTTACAAGATTCACCATTATCCAAGTGTGTGTTTAGATCCTTAAAAATTTCGGCCAGAGAGATTTCTCACTACTCACAAAAAGGATGATTTTAGGGGTCAAAATTTCAAATTTATACCTTTTGGTTGCGGAAGGAGAATGTGTGCTGGGGTTTCGTTTGCGATTCAAATTCTGCAGCTTACGCTAGCTAATTTGCGGCGGGGATTTGAGTTTGAGACGCCATTGCATGAACCGGTTGACATGGGCGGGCGAGGCAGCAGGGCTGTCGTCTCCTAAAGCTACTCTTTTTTTTTTTTTTTTTAAAAGCAAAAGACTATTTATTATTTAAATGAGTACAAGTGCTACTCAACCCATTTTACACAATTAAGAAGACAATCAAGAAGACAACTAAAGCTACTC